ACAAGGTATTTAAAAATTATTTTTAATGATTATTTAGTTTTCTTTTGTCAATCAGTTGTTTGGAATAATTATTATGAGGTATGATTGTTAATACGTGTAAGTATTTTGTGTAATATTATTATTATTATTATATATTATTCAATTAACAGGTGAGAATAATTTTCTGGTAAACTGCTTTTGGAGTTATATTTTTTTTACATAATAACTACCGGAATCAGTGGCCTACCTAAAAGAAGAGCCCTATAGACCTAACGCGCCCATTTCACGTGAGTACTGCAAGGTACAGGGTCTGGGGTGAAGCCTAGTGAATAATAAACTTTAATTATAATTTTGATAGACTTTTTTATATTGTATTTTAAGTTTTGAAAAAAAAAAATTTAAGTGTCAAGATATAATTTACCAAAATATTTGATATGTTATATTTAAAATTTATATACATGTATTAATTTACTTCAGTAGACTTCTATGCTTGCGATTGTGCATACTTAAAATAAATTTAAAATGTAAATAATTTTAACAAAATCTATACACGTGTTCAATTAAAAACTCTTATTATCATAAATTGATGTAAAAAAATTATAATTTGTAAAATTATTTATGATAAAAAACAACTGCTGGTAAAAAAAATGAAAAACTATATAGAGTATATAAAGTTTTATGTATGACTTTAGGAAATATTAAATTAGTTGCCGGAAAGCGCTATGAAATTCAATGAGAATTTGAAAGTTTTACCAATCATTTCAAAAAAATAACAAAAGTGTATGATTTTTTGGATGATAGAATCATTTATCCCTAGTTTTTAATAAATATTGCTTTCGATGCTTTAATACACTATGTTCATTTGGGCTTATTCAACGATAAACGACTTTCCCTAGACTGTGGAAGAACCCGTGTAGTATAGTATTCGTCTACAAATTAAATTATATTTGATACCGTAAAATATCAGTGGCTTTTAGCTTTTGCACAAAATGACAGTAACGTAGTTACTGATGAAAGCTATGGCATTCACATAATTGCAACAATGGTTCATCATCTATGTGTCACTGTTTCAAGAGCCTCCAATCAAGCTCTTGATTATATAGTTTGCTATGTACACAAAAAACTGATGAAATCCTATTCATTATAACTTCAAACATATTTTGAGTACCTATATAATTTATAGCTACACAAACAGAACAATTTTGTATATTGAGCAATTAATAAAGAGATTAATTATTTTATTGTGCTGATAAAATATTAATATGTTCGAAAGTATAAGTAACAAGCATTAAAATAAAGCTGACTGTAATTTTTAAAATAATTTCATTTATTCTAAATGTACATAATCTGTACTCTCTGTGCATGATATGATAAACAAATGATAAATAAAATAAAACATTATATCAATATTTTTTTTCTGAGTTATACTCAAAAAATTATTAAGAAAACTTCTAAAAAATCAAAGTAATTGTTTTCAACAATTATGACGTTTATTTTACTTTAAGCAAAACGTTTTAATCTTTCATTTATTCATTAATTTATATTTTTACCTAAAAGCTCTAAATACTGCATGAAAGTATTTATTGGATCATTTTTAGTATAAAATAATTCAGAGAATTTATTTGCTCAATGTGATTATATTTATATCTATGACTATTTAGAGAAAACAAAAAAACAAGATTTTTCTCATGTATCTGAAATTGACGAAAAATAATTATATTTTTATATTCTGGAAATACATTTTTTTTAATATTCTTGGACAAAACTTTATAAGCTGTAGTAGTTTTTATTTTTGTTATTTATAGTAATTCTAATAAAAACTGATAAAATTAATTTTTAATGATGTTTAATTAACTTAATAATTTACTAGTAATTTCGTTACAATAATAAACACGATAAATAATAAAGTAAACTTTCATATCGGAAAACATTCTAAAACAAACAAATTGTATACTTTGTGTAATAAGCTTTAATTTCAGTATAATTAAGTATCAAAAAATTAATAATTTATTTTATATATATGAAGAATTAATATAATACATGTATTATGATTATGAGTAAACATATTTCATAAACACTGTGGAATAATTTTTTTTTTTTAATGCTCCATAATAGTAATGTTTTTTTGTAATTCAAGTAAAGTAAAATAATGGCTTATATCACTTTATACATTCCTTAAGGGTTTTATTCTAATAAATGGTTTACTACAATGAATATTTGTCAGCCTTTGTGTTCTAAGAGATGAATGAAAATAAGAAAGAAACACATGCATTAAAGATGATTCTTTATTGGTTTTTCTACATATTAAATGAATAAATAGTAAAGTAAAAATACTTTTGTTAGGAAAATTATGATTTAAACTTATATTTCATGGTGCTACTATAACACAAAAAATATTTTTTGTTATACATATTTAAAGACTTTCAAAGTGCGTTCTTTGAATTTATTTTAATAAAGCTTTAAAATAAATAATTTGCTATAATTTATAAAAATGTTAAATAAATATAGAATAATCGAAATTATTACATTCTTTCAGTAACAAAAGTAAAACTCCACTATAAATCATTACAGCAATAAAATTTAATACATGTAAAATGTTCAATATTATAGAGAATGCAATTAATTCACACACCCAGACAGCATTATATCTTAATAATGTTTTTATAAAATTATTCTTTCTGCCTTCTTAATTGCTTTCTGGGTATGTCAATAATTTTCCGAAATTCGACGTTTTCGGTATGATAAATTTTTATATTGTAATTTGCATTTACAGAGTTAAATATTTGAAGATAAAATATCTATTTAAAATTTATATAATTAAACGAGTAGATCAAATTTTGATTAATCGTCTATAAATAAATGGTCGAATATATCAATTAAACATCCTGGCTACGTTTTGTTATAGGCTAGACATATCTTTTTGTTAGCAAAATAGAATAAATTTGTTTTGTAGTTCGCTTACACATCTTCTAATAATTTTTTTAAAGACATTTGCTTTTCCATTTTTTCCACATATTTAGAAATATTTAAATCATTTGTCAAAAATATTAGGTGACTTTTTTTATTTAAGGTATAATATTTTTGTAGTAAGAAAAATAGAGCAGATAATTTAATATGTGTGCTTAATACATTTTTGTATGCAGTTTTAATATAATATATTATATGAAACTTTAACTTATACATACATTCATGTGGAAGCCTTTAACACATTATGAATATTTGATAAGATGAGACTCCACAAGTCACATGTGTTGTGCACCAAATACAGTTTTCAGCCACTTATTAACAATACGTAATTAAGTAATTAAGAAACTTTAAACAAATTTTAGGCAACGTTTTAGAATAAGTATTTTAGTTTAATATTTATATTTATCTTCTAAATTCATGTATTATTTTAAGTAAAAGACGAATGCTAAAAATGTATTACTGCCTTTAAAAATTTGTGTTAAATGATATCTGATATTATTAAAGCATAAGAAATTATTGATTATTAAACCTAGTTAATAAGTGCTTTATCTGACGCAAAAAGTTTTTTTAGGATATACATCAAAGTAAACATATCTGATGGTTTTAGATCTTTAATGAGAATTAGTTAGTAAATAAAGATAATTAAGTTCAAAATAGAGTTTAATATTACATTTTAATCACATATTTTTGTTTGTGATTATGTTTTATTTTTAACTCAAATAATCTTTATTTGATTAGATTCAATGAATGTTTAGAGTATGCCTAAATAAAAAAAAATATTGAAATGTTATACTATTATTCAAATAAGCTAATATAATTTTTTACAGCTCTTTTGTTATTTATGTTGTCTTTACATAGTCAACGTTAGACACAAATAGTGATATTACTATCTGATATAACCAGTACCTTTATAATAAACAATATGGAGTGTAGCATATCTTAATAACAACTCTTATGACTTTTGATCTGTCCTATATTTTTAATAACTATCAATATTTTTTTGTAATTTAATATTTGACAAATCGATGAAAAGTTTTGTCTATAATAATACATATGAACATTTTAAATAGTTAACTTGCGTGAATAGATATAATGTCCTATATATACTTTAGGTCGCATATATTTCATAATTTATCAACTAATAATAACTTTTTAGAATCATCCCTTATAAGTTAAAGGGGTGTCAACTATATTGTTTTTTAAATTCAAAATGCATATTTAACTAGCATATGAAGAAGGAAATAATCTATTAAGAAAATTTAAAGAAGAACTGAAGATGACGAATGGGTGTTGCTATTGTTGCACTAGATATTTTACTGCTATATTCTTCGCCTAGCTATAAAAATGAGAATACCTTTCAATGTACTGGTTCAAATAATGAGTAATGATAAAAATAATATAACCCTTCACCTTACCTTCCATTATTTTTAAAAACGTTAATAAATTTCGAAATAGTTGATCAAAAGTTGTTATTGATCAAATTTTATTTAATTAGATTTTTTTTTTCTTTAACCTTACTTACTTGTGGTCGGCTAATTTTTTTAATTAGATAATTTTTTATTTTGTAAGCTAGTTAAACATGTATTTTGTATTTAAAAAAATAATATTGATATTCCTATAAGTTATAAGGATGAATTTAAAAAAATTAATAATTAATTAATCAAGAATTACATAAAATTAAATAATGTCAAAAACAATTTTTTTATGAAATTAATGAATGAATATGATGATGTAGGATACACGTCTAGTTAAAAAATTCATATTAATGATATCATTTAAATTTATTAAAATGTCAGTTTTAGTATTCCAAAGCGTTTTACTTAAATTTCAAAAGCAAAAAAATATATTATAAATAGTAAGCTCAAGTTAAGATAAAAAAAAAGTGTTATATCTTTTTTATGAACGATATTACTGAAATTTTTCCATTTTGTTCTTGTTATAGTATTATATACGAATATTCCTAGAATATATTATTGAAATTTTACAAATTATATCCACTGATTCTAAGATGTTTTTTTAAATTATTTATTAAAAAAGAAATCTAAAAGTATAGTGAACAATAAAATATATTTATATATATATTTATGTTGCTGCTCAGTAAGTAAGAAAACGGTTTCTATTGTTCTCACAATTTATAACAAATAATATGATTTCTTATTTACTGAACAGCTGTATATTAAAGTAATATTAAATTATAAGTATAAGTAAAATGCATAAAATAACATAAGGTATTATACTAATCTGTATATTAGTATGAACATATAATTTTCTATTCAGAACAAAGAAAGTAATCCACCATATGTTTTGGGAAATCCTTCATGTCAATTGATAAATTCAAACTTTTATTTTGTTTTCTTTTAAAAGCTACTTCTTTAAAATGTTCAATATTTTCAGTTTTGAATTCATCCAAGCCATCATTATTCCCTAGGTCGTAAACATTAATTTCATTACTGTTGTCGCTAGTATCACTTTTATCGTTTTTACTGTTACAATAATCTATTGGATTATCTGCGCATAATACATCTGTAAATAATAAAAATTATTAAAATTGTTGTTTAAATTTTTAGGTAATTAGGAAAAACTAATTTCAATAGATTTTAACATTGTTAAAATTATCCAACATACAAAACGTCTAATTACTTTATTTAACACGTCATTAAATGATTTGGATAATATTTTTGTACAAAATATTAATTAACAAAATATTTTCGAAACGTGACTGAAAAATTAATGATTTTACTAAGTCGTTCTTTTTGTTTTTTTAAATAAATTTCAAGTAAAAGTTTGATATCAACACTCACTTTTAGTGTTTTATAGTTAAATATCTAGAGTATTTTACTTTGACTTTTTAACAAAGAGAGAACTTTTAATCCGATATCATCAATTATTAAACATTTTGTTAACATAATGTTACACGACTAATTTCACATCAGTTACTATCAATATAAAATTCGGTAAAATTATCAGTGTTCATTCGAGTGATGAATTTTTATAAAAAAAAAAAAAACGTTTAACTTGAAAGAGTTTCATGTATTTCTTCATAACAATATTATTGTTGAATACCATAAATATATACCAAATATTTAAATTTTTACACAACTTTAAATACTCTAGATATTTAACTAAAAACATTCATAAAAAAATATAAATATTAAATTTTTTCTTAAAAATTATTTTATAAATAGGCTCTACATACACCTTAATACACCTTTATTTGATATTTTGCATACATATTTAAAATTTAAAAAATTTTTACATTAATTAAAAATACATTATTTTTATATACAAATTGGAGACAAAGAAACTACAATTATTTTAAAGTGTAAGTAACGTTATATATTAACTAGAATAAAAGTTTATGGATTTGTCATATTTTCTTGATTCACCTGAAATTAATCGTATATTATAGTGTAAAAATATATATACTCTTACCAATTAAATTTGGTACCAAGAAAAATCTCTGATCATTATTGGTAATTCTTCCTAAATACTGTATGTCATAAATCAATTCAAATGATTTTTTATATTTGTTGAGTTCTTGAACATATAATTCAACTTGATTTACTTTTTTTAATAATAAGTCATATATAGGCATTATACTTTGATCCGTAACGATTATTTCAGATTCTACATTAAACTTTAATTTATTATCAGTAAAGAATAATTCTAGTTTTCTCAAGGTTATAATTGGTAAATTTTCTACTTTAAGTCTCGTGCCTCCAATCCAAGATAAAATTACAGCAAAATTGTTAGAAATAAATGTAAGAAAACTTTTTGACGATTTAATAAAAATGTTTAAATCAATAAACTCATAAAGAATTATTTTAATTTTTTCACCCAAATGTTGTATACATGTTTTGCCATTTATTTTGTAATATTGGGGATTTATTCTACTTCGAACAATTCCAGATCCAAAATGTATATGATTAGCTATAAGCATTCCAACAGGATGAAAAGCAGCGGCAAGTAGAAGCTTTTGGAATGATCTTACATTATCAAATAAAAATTGATACTTTACAAAACGAAATACGTCAGTAACATACAAAAATGATTTGTCAGCACACTGTAAATTAAGAGGAACAAATCGAAGGAGGTCTAAAATATTTTTTGGATTACCATCAACGTTAAATTCTTGATGTTGTCTTGATTCAGTATTTTTTATTTCAATTTTATCTGAATGATTTGACATTATATTATAAAATAATAAATTTTTGGGGTGGAATTTTGTTATATTGTTTATTTCAACATTTCCAGGATTTATTTCTTTAATCATTTTTTCTCTTAAATCATTTGTAAATAAGTTTAATTTATCAATATTTAATTCATTCGATACGTTTTTGTTAGGATACTCGACAAATTCTGCTATTGGTTCTTTAGAACAACTAGAATTAATAAAACGTTCTAATTGTATCATCATAGAATAATTTTGTAATCTTAAACCTTGTATACCAAGGAACAAATTGTTATATCCAATATTATTACCTGTCTCATATCTATACATTACATTTATCGAACCAGAATTATTGTTTAAGTATAAATTCACTGTTAGCAAGTCAAGCGCAACACAATCTTGATTAATTTTATGTAAATCTTGAATCATTAATAATACAACTTCGCCGTGAGTTTGAAAAGCTCGTCCATATTTCTTTAAATCTTCTTTAGTATAAATTTCAATATTTTTATACATTTGTAACAAATAATGTTCATTAATTTTAAAGTAATTCAACATATATCTAGAATAATTGCAATGTCGTTCATAATAGGTAGAATTCACTGTTTTGGAATTAAATAATAAAACTATTAAAATAGTTATAAAAATCATATTTTTTAATTAACAGGATGTTTAATAAGAATAAAAAATATTATAATTAAATAAAAATATTTGTTAAATATCATATAGGTTGGGTTTTATATAGTAGATTTTCTATTATTAGATTTTTTATTTTATGAAACATTTGTTGCCGACAAAATTATTTTGATAATTACTACCTATTTCTTATAATAACTTTTTAAAATTTGAATTATTATTTTATAATTTCAGTTGTATTTTTTGGCATTATATAAAAATAATTATAAATAAATTTTATACATATTGTTTTTTTATAATCATTACTTTTATATTACTTGAAATGAAACAGAACTACAGACTTTAAATTTGATATTGTCGTTGATGTTCTACATTTTTAACATGAGTTAATTCCTTTAATCTCAAATAACCTTATTAAAATTTAATTAATTTTATAGAAAATCTTGCTTTTTAGAGTTAATTAATAGAATTTATCTATCTATCTATTATATTCACAATGCATTCAATTACATTGTGTTTTAATTTTTCTAACTTCAATTTTCTCTAAAAGGTGTAATATTAGTTTTATATAATTTATAACTAAAAGTAGATAAACCATCTATGTATTATAGTTATATAAAAAATACTATTTGTAAATCGCATTATTAATTTTCTCAAAAACAAATTTTCTAAAGACAATTCACTTAAAAATAACTTTATTGTTATAATATTACGTTTTGATTTATATTTTTCTAAAACAAACAGCCATTGACGTATGGTAAGTCCTTTTAATAAGAATACAATTGTATAAAGAGAAGGAAGGTATATTCGAAATAAATTAATGTAAAATAATAAATCTAATATTTTTTTATTAAAAAAAATATCTCTACACTAATTATGCGGAAAGTATGAAGCTTTTATGTATAATTAATATAAAGAAAACGCTAAATGAATGGTTTTACATTTTAATCTCAGAACTAAATACTTTTAATCGATACAATTGGGGCTATAACTGTTTAACTTAATTTTGATAATAATTGTGTAATTTACATTATGCAAAAGCCTTAATATATTCAACAAATTTTTTAATGTTTTGGTTCTTAGATTTGTAGCAAGTTGAGTTCCAAAATATTATCAATTTATAATTGTTGTTAAACTGTGAACACGTTAATTCATCTAATATGTAGCCCGCCAAATAAACCAATTTTTATTAACTTCGATAACATAAAAATATAACAGAATAGAATGTTAAAATAACAGTTTTCTTGACAACTATTATAATATACAGAGTATTCGGTTTTTCAAAAACCACTCAATTACTAACAAAATAAATACAATAATTAAAAAAAGGTTTGAGTTTATATATATATATATTTTAGTTTATCACCTATTAATTCATTTTTAAAATCATCCCTTATAACTTATAGGAGTATTATCCTTGTATTTCGAATGGCAACATATATAATTAATGAGATTATAATATAGATAATGATTTTATTTAAAAAATGGCAGGTTGATAACGGCTTTTGACCAATAATTTTGGTTTAAGTTATTAACATTTTTTAGTTTTAACTAGAGGTGAAACGAAGGTGTTATTTTTGTCACTAGTCATATCCTAGTCATACTATACCTCCCACCATCATTTAATATTTTTAAATACAGAATGGAGAAAGAGTGTATCGAATAATGCGTAATGATAAAAATAATATAACCAACACCTCTACTTCACTCAATTTTTAAAAATTCTAATAACTTTCGAAGTACTGATCCAAAAGATGTTATTGGCCATTAAATTTCTTAATCAGATTATTTTCTTTTGTATATATTATTAAAATATGTATGTTGATATTAAAGAAATACAGTTGACACCCCTTTAAGTTATAAGAGATGATACTAAAAAGTAATTATTAGTTTATAAATCATGAAATATTTAGCGAGTAATATTATAGCTTAAGATAAACCAATCACTTTGTATAATTTTTATTAAATAAGCTCAATTTGGCCACTTTCAGATTTTGTTTTTTTAAGTTATATTTTTAGTATTATTTTTAAATTTTTACATTTTGGATAACTACTACATTTTTTAAACAAAAATCAATTGACAAGTCCTAAACAAGTAATGAACGTGTTAGAATAATTTATTTAATGTATAATTATTAGTGGAGAATGCAAATTCTAGTATATTGACATTGTATCTGTTCGCGCAAGTTAACCATTTAAAGGGTTAATACCTTTTTATTACATACAAATCTTTTCATCGAATTGTCAAATTTTAAATTAAAAATGGTAGCACAGTGGGGTCGTAGCACAATGTGAGCGTGGCATAGTTGGGTACAGTATAGATAATATCTGATTTTGATTAAAATCACTATCATAAAAAACGCTTTGATGCAAATCTATAGATAATTTTTAATTTTAAGAAATTGGTTGATTATTTTTAAAGCAAAATTAACTCGTATTTTTATCATTAATCCTAACTAGTAGTTGCTTTATAAGTATAATTTATGAATAAATATTTATTAAAGTAATTTGACGTAGTATGAAATTAATATTTAATAATTTAGTATTGAAATTTTTTGGAGAATTTATACAAAATTATAAAATAGTTATTAATTTTATGGCAAACGTTTATAAAAATTAAAAGGCTTGACACAAAACATTTTAGATAATAATTTGTTGTTAACTATGAATAAATGGTCTGCAAAAAATTATCATCTGAGTCAAAAATATACTTTCA